TTAATCTCCTTTGTCAGTGTGTCCTTTGCCATTCCCTATCACTCCTCCCTGAGAGAGACATCTTTTGGCAAAGGCTTTAAATCAAACATATCTAAGAAAATCTCTTTCTTATTGTCATCAAGGCAGAATTCTCTAGCAGGTTTTTGGAGGCTGTAGATTGTCTGGGAGGAGACTGCCCATCTTTCTCACTCAATTAATAAGGAAGGAAAACAACTATTTTAAAGGTATTACACTCATTGTAACTATCTTACACAGTTGGTAGAAATGAAAAATGGATTAAACACTGTGGAAATCAGTCTAGTGCTTCCTTCAAAGATGTGAAATGGGAATAACATTTGATCCAGCAATCTTACTACAAGTATATCCTAGAAAATAACAGTTTTGTCACAAATTGATATACACACACTCATAATCATTGTTGCATCATTTACAATAACGAAGTGACCTAAGTATCATCAACAGATAATGGTTAAAGAAACTGTGATACATTTGCATAATGGAGAACTATGTAATACTAAAAAATAATAAATAATTCATTAATTATTGCATAGTAGGGATGGCCTATAGAAAATTATGAGTGACATAAGTCAGCCACAAAAGGACAGTTATTATATAAGATCATTATTATAAAAAGCTAGAGAAAGTTTTACCCATAGACAAAATCACTATTGAATAGTTACCAGAGAGGAGAAGGGGAAAGGAAGTAAAAATTACTAAATAAAGAATAGATGTTGAATAAATTTCATGAATGGAAAGGCAATATAAAATAAGGAGTTGGTAAACAATGCAACTATTTTTATAAAACAAAATGTGCATTAATGATTAAATGAAAACCTAGTATGATATTGTAGCTGATGTTAGATGGATCTTAGCTGAAAGCAGAGAATACCAGAAGAATGTCTATCTGTGTTTCATTGATTATGCAAAGGCATTTGACTGCGTGGATCATAACAAACTGTGGCTGACTCTGAGAAGAATGGGAATCCCAGAACATTTAATCGTGCTAATGCGAAACCTATACTTGGACCAAGAGGCAGTTGTCAGAACAGAGCAAGGCAACACTGCATGGTTCAAAATTGGGAAGGGTGTACACCAGGGATGTGTTCTATCTCCACACCTTTTCAACCTGTATGCAGAGCAGATTATCCGAGAGGCTGGGCTCTATGAGGAGAAGCGTGGCGTTAGGATTGGTGGACGATCTATCAACAATCTGCGTTATGCAGATGACACAACCTTGCTCACTGAAACTGAGGAGGACCTCATACACTTGCTGCAGAGGGTCAAGGACTGCAGCCTTCAGTATGGACTGAGGCTCAATGTCAAGAAGACAAAGATTCTCACCACTGGACCAATTGGCAGCATCAGGATGGATGGCGAAGAGATTGAGATTGGTCACAGCTTCAGTTTGCTCGGCTCCACGGTCAACACTCTTGGCACCAGTAGGCAGGAAATCAAAAAACGTATTGCGATGGGAAAGTCTGCTGTTAGGGACCTCTCAAAGGTACTCAGGAGCAACAGTGTCTCTCTGGAGACTAAGGTGCGCCTGATACAGGCCATGGTTTTTGCAATCACTTGTTATGCGTCAGAGAGTTGGACAATGAGTAGGGAGGATAGAAGGACTGATGCCTTTGAGCTGTGGTGCTGGAGAAGAGTATTGAGTGTACCATGGACTGACAAGAAAACAAACAGATTCATCGTAAAGAGGATTAAACCAGGCTGCTCCTTGGAGGCAAGGATTCTGGGGCTTCCTCTGACATACTTTGGACATGTTGTAAGGAGAGACAGGTCTTTAGAGAGGGACATCATGCTGGGTAGAGTGGAGGGACAGCGCAGGAGGGAAAGACCCTGTATGAGGTGGATTGATTCAGTGGCTGGGGTACTCGGGATGGGTGTGTCAGAGGCAATGAGATTGGCACAGGATAGAGCAGGGTTTAGGGCTATTGTACATATAGGGTGCTTATGAGTCGCAAGCGACTAGACGGCACATAACAACAACAACAACAGTATGATTTGTACATTTTTACTAAAAACATAATAATAAAATAATTTTTTAAAGCATTACTCTCATTGACCACATATGTCAGATTATCATCCCCTTTGCTTTTTCTTTTTGGTTTCATTTTTCATTGGGTTTTGTTTTTAGGTTTTTTTAGTCTGTTCAAACTTTCTAAAGAGCCGTATCCTTAACCACACATGCTTCTTTCCAGCTGAACAAAGAGGCAGAGGGCAGCTCTGAGCAGCACCACACCCTCTCACCAGCCCTCCTGGGATTATTTTTTAACTTGGAAAGTAGGAACCTGCAGGGCAAGTTTAAGGGTAGAAAATGACTATTTACAAGACTACTGAATCCCCAGTTTTATTTACAGGCCTGGAGTATTAAGCATCAGACTCCAAACCAGCCTTGATATCCCCCATTTATTATACAATACCCAGCCTTGGGTTAAAATTTAAAAATAAGAAACTACCTAGAAAGAAAATTCAGAGATAGAATTTTTTTAAAAAGAAACTCTCAAAAGTCTATTTCTTAGCTGTATGAACTGTATATTTAGTGTAAACTTTGGTGATTATATTCTAAATACATGTATTTTATGCATGAGATTAGGCACATAATTTCAGAATACCACAGAAACATGCTTCCTACACAGCTGATATATCTAAAATGTCTGAATAAGAAAAAGAGCAAACCAACACAAAACACACAGCCCAGAATCTCGTTGTGCTAGCTAATGCTGCCATCTATAGAGCAAACACTAGAGGAATTCTCACTTGCTCCAACCAAACGTGCTATTTACACAACCCCAGCTAACCACAAAAAGGGACGTCTACGTTGTCAAACAAAATGAAACCACTTGAAACCACTTACACACGTGCTGCCTTATTTCACCCCCTCTGACTCTTCACTAAAAATATGTCTTGAAGCTTGGAGAAAAGGTTTCAAGTTTGTGACTGAAAGCATATGGAAACGTATTTAGTATTATTAGAATTGCATTAGCCAGTAAACTAACTTCCCTCAAGTCTACTATAATTCATGGTAACAAGAGAATATTAGAACAGGACAGTGCTCCATGGGATTTTCCATAGCTACATTTTTGAAATAGATCTCCAGATTTTTCTCTTTTCCTATCTAGGTGCACTGAGCCACCAATCTTTCAAACAGTTGTCATTTGTGTTAACTATTTATAACACCTAAAGATCTATGACAGTCTAAAAGCCAGTAAAACTATTCATGTGATTTTCTGGCACACAAGGGACTTGATCTACATTAAAGCCTGCATATAAAATACAATTTGCTTGGACCCACAATTAAAGTTGACGGAAGCAGCTGCCAAGGTATCAAATGATGTACTAAGGTGTGCCTTAATCAAAGCCATGGTCTTTTTAATCAACTGCTGTGTGTCTGAGAACTGGACAATGAATAAGTGTGGCAGAAGAATTAATGCCTTTGATCTGTGGTGCTGGAAAAGGATACTAAAAATCCCATGAACTGTCAAAAGAACAAATATGTATGTCTTGGAGAAAATCAAGAATGGTGTAGCTTTGTCTCACATAATCTGAGCATGTTGCTAAAAGAGGCTATTCCTTAGAGAACATCATGAAATGACACAATGACTGCAGCAATGGGCTCAAGTGTGTCAGAGACTATAATGATGGCACAGGATAGGACAGGGTTCAAATCTATTGTTTATAGTGTTACTATGAGTCATACTCAACTTGATGGCCCCTAGCAACAACAACATATGCATGTAGGAGTTCTGGTGGCTTAGTAGTAAGAAATGTGTTGCCAACCCAAAGGCACATAGTTCAAATCCACCAGCTGTTCTGTAGGACAAAGTCAGGCAATCTCTTCTATATTGCTCCTGAAAACCCACTGGAGGGTCAGTTGTGAGTTGATTCTGATTCCATGGTACATAACAACAACGAAAGCATATATGTACATGGAAAGATGAATAAGGAAGATCAAAGAATTGATGCATTTGAATTAAGATGTTGGGAAAAATATTCAATCTTGGAAGAAGTAGAGCCAGAATAATCTTTAGAGGTGAGAATGGCAAGACTTTATCTTGCACACTTTGAGCATTTTATCAGGAGATACCTGGGTAAGAATATCACATTTGGTAAAGTGAGAGTCATCAAGAAAGAGGAAGATTTTCAGTTAGATGAGTTCACACACTGGCTGCAGTGATGAGCTTAAATATGGAAACGGTTGTGAGGACGGTGCAGGACCAGACAGTGTTTGGTTCTGTTGTGCATATTGTGTCTCTAGAGTCATAGCCAACTTGATAATACTTAACAACAGAAAATGCATGTTTCTAAATCTTTGCCAGTTTATTTTTTGTAACAGATATGACATTTCATCCTTTTACCATCAAACGTGAACTCCTTTGAACTGATTACCAATGACAAGAATGTGCCATAGACGTAAGTCATTAAATACAAAATAAAATTAACTCACCTCATTTTCTTCTAAATCAGGGACTTTTTCCTGTATGTCTTCATCTTCCTTCACTATCTCAGCTGGTAACTAGGGGGAAATGCAATTTTTTTCCCAAATTAGTCATATTTAACTTCAGTCAATAGAATAGCATGACTATCTAAACTACTTTCATGGAAAGTTTATCTAATTTATCTTGAGTGGTTACTTCAGTATGAGATTGTGTTTACTCTGTATATTTTACCTCTCACTATACCACTAAAATGCCAACCTATTTAATACAATTTCTGGAGATACCTTTAAGGAAAAATACTAGACATCCCCACTGTGTAAAAAACCTGTCTTGGTCCCTCCAGATGCGTTTGAGCAGCAGATAATAAATGACTGCTTTACTCTTCATACACCCTGGGGACACCATTGAAGGGACTCAGTTCTCTTTTCAAGAGACACCCTCCACAACCTGCTCACTTTATTCTTCGCACAGCAGTGCATGTGCATTCTTCTTGCTTTTTATTTTCCACTTTGTATTACTTCATCACTATGTGTGTATAACTCAATAGTCAAAAATACAACTGTGCTTACCTTACTTACTAAATACTCTATCCCTAACAGAGATTTAACATTTTGAAGATATTTTGATTCTGTGCTGAAGCGTTAGGAGGGAGATCAAACCCAGTTAGCTGTGCTTAGACACAGAATATTTGAAAATTTTTAATGGTCACTACATACCAGTAAGTACAGACAGCACATGTTTATCTTGCTCATTGAGTAATGTGGCATTTTTCCTAGCAAAAGATAATAACGTTTCTTAATTGGTGTCCTAGAACTTCTCTCCATTATATAGGGAAAGTGTGTGTTTGGAAGCCAAAGAAAGACTCAAATGAGGTTACTTCAGTTATATCTCTGTATCAGTCATGTTAAGTTGCATTTTCATTTATTTTACAAAACCAGAACAAATATATATATATGTCCATGTTCAGTATGGGCTGACAGGGGGCCTTTCACCAGTCATCACAGTTACTTAAAAAAAGCAGACTAATTAAAGTTCCAACTCAACATTTTCCCATGATCTCAAAGGTAGAGAACAGAGAATGTGACAAATCACATACTAACTCAAAAAAGTTTCTGTCAAAAGAATTGTTCATTACTTTCACTCATATTTCATTATTGAAAGAGTCATATAGTCACACCTGAATTAAAAGGGGGTATAGGAGTGGTCTTACTATGTCACTGGTGTGAAAGCATTGACATCAATGTGAAGTTCTCGGGACTCCAAAGGTCTCGCCAGTTTAAAGACATACTTAAAAAGTAAAACTGGCAAAACAAAATGATCAAGATACGGAAGATTTGAAAATGAAAGGTCTCAGGAACATCTTCTCAGTTTCTTTTTCTTCTTTCTCTTGCTCTATGGATGGTGGTGACAAAGGATAGGAATAAAGCAGGAAGAGAAAATCTTGCAGGTGGTAGGAATAGGGAAATCATATGGTAGTTTTGCTTTACTGAACTTCAGCATCCTAGAACATGTACTGGGGATGTAAAAATCAGTATGTGCATAGAGCATAGGGGGAAATTTATATAGAGATCCAAGCCATGGTTACATAGAATTTACCTAGGTAAAAAACCTAGAAGAAGAAGAGTAGATTAACTCATATTTGCTAAACTCCAGTACTCAAGGGCCAGCTATTTTTCTGTCATTTTTAAGTGTCCTTCTAACAACTATGACTCATAGTGTCTCAATGAATACAATATTGAAACTTTGCCTTATTTATCCTGCCTCCTGCTCATGATTTTCATCATGCTCAGCTATAGAAGCCCTATAAAGAAGAATAAGAATTAATAATAAAAAAACAACATAAGGGAAATCAGACTACTGTGCCTTAAAAATGCAGTATGTCGACAAAAAAAGAGCCCAACAGTGTCAATTAATCTCATAAGGTCAAATTTTATTAGAATTAAGAAATACGTTGTACTTGGCAATATGGAAGTCAAGCACTGTGTATCATTCTAAGCAGAAGCCAGAAGAGGTGAATAAGAACAGTAGAGAGGTTAAAATTCACTCCTTTTTAAATTTGGCTCTCCAAGTAAAGGGACAGATGTTGCTACTGCTGCCCCGTGTGCTGTCAAGTCACAATCGACCCACAGCTGACCTTCCCGTGGGTTTTCAGAGGCAGTAAATTGCATGAGAGGAGACTGCTCACCATTCTCCTGTTGAACAGCAGGTGGACTCGAGCCACTTGCTTTCATATAGAATAAGATAGGTACTTCTAAAAGAGGAATGAAAACAAAAAAACCCGAGTTTGTAGTTTAATGCTTTTATCGTTAAATAAGAGAAGTCATCATGCTAAACATTACCATTAGGATTCAAGTGCAGTGGCAGTTAAGTGTGTCCAATGAGAAGAAGACAGAGAATGAATCATTGATAGCACAGGCTCTTTGAAGCTCCCAAGAAGCAGGATGCAGACTTTTGGTAGAGATCAGCCTTAGTAAGACAACAGACACTTCTACCATAAAGAAGGAGAAGATGGATGGGGGTCAACCAGCATGTGCAGATACCTTATGACTGATCCTATAAAGACTCCGGTTTAGGAAACCCTGTGAGGCAGTTTAACATGTGCCTTTGGATTCAGAATGGACACAGCAGAACACAGAAACACTAAGAACTACTCATCTTCATAAAAATACCTTAATTTGATCCCTGTCAAAATTCCAATCTTTTTAAGGTATTAATCTCAAAATTTAAGAGACAGGAAAGGAAAGCTCATTAATTGAAACCACAAAAGGTTCATTCTCTTTTCCTGGCAAGTGGTAAGAATTAGGCATATATAAATATGTGCTGAATCAGTATGTACTGCTCAAGGCCTGTCAGTTTTCTTGAAAAGTTCTTAGGAAAGACTTTTCTTACTCTTTCAAAAAGAGTTACCCACCTCAACTCAAACTCAATTAATTCATTGCCACTGAGACAAAACCAACTCATAGCAGGCCCTCAAATGGGCTTTCAGGAGCCATCAATCATACAGGAGGAGATTGTCCATCAACTGCCAGAGAAGTGACACCTTTGGAATAACAGCACAAAGCCTTACCTACCAGAAGTCCAGAGCTCCCTACTAACCAAAACTCTCCAATCAGCTCCTACATATAGCAGCTCATGCATGTCAGAGTGGAATTGTTCTCCATAAGGCTTCAATAGTGGGTTTTCCAAAAGCAGAATGTCAGGCCTTTTTTCCAGAAAATTTCTTGGTGCCTTAGCAGCGTATCATATTAACCACCTGTACCAACAAAAAATTCCTTCAAAAAGGCACTTGGGAAGAAACACCCTCTCTCTCTCTCTCTCTCTCTTTCTCTCTCTCTCTCCTGTGTGTGTGTGTTGCTCAACATTTTTGTCACTGTTGTTATGTACTGTCAAACTGGAACCAACTCAGAGCTGATCCTCTAGGTTTTCAGAGTAGTAAATTGCACAGGAGATTGCCACCTTTCTCCCACAGGAGATTGCCACCTTTCTCCCAAGTGGATGGTGGATTCAATTCACGTGGCTTTGAGACGACAGCACAATTCCTTGTTACCAAGCCACCAGAGCTCCCTTTGCTCAATATTAATGAGTTCAAAAGCATAGTCTAGACTTAGGCAATCATATAAATACCATGAGGAGACAAGACAGAGGAAAATGTCACTATGCTGAGGAACATAAATTGGAAAAAATGAAAATAATCTGAGTCCTAAATTATACTTCTTAGCTCTGAGCTGGTTACTCTCGAGCGAATCAACCTTCAGACCTTCTCTTATACAGCATAATAAATGTTCCTTATTGTTTAAGCCACTTCTATTTAACTTTTCAATTCTTTAAAGCTAAGAACATCCTAACAGACATAGACGCTAATTATACTTTTAATTTATTCATTAAAGCAGATACCCTAAGGACCTGTGTTAACTTAGTTTGAGGGACTCTATGTACCTGAAAGCACTAGAGTTTTAAAGCTTCATTATGTTTATTCTAATTAAACAATTCAGAAGTTACACAAATGTAGACTGACCTTCTCCTAATTAGTCCAAATCATTTTGGTTTTACTTATGTTACTGACTTATTCTTAGCTTTCTCTCAGAAGTGAAATGCAAGAAGGATTCAGAAAGTGTCATTTTGAATGTATTTCTCTTTCTGATGTTCAAGAATATATGCAAAAACACTCTTTGTTTTAAATTTTTGGGGATTCTCTGAAAATAAAAATTTTAGTATAAGTCAGCACTGGACTCAATCCCTCATGCTCTCAGTCAATTCATCCTCGACATACATCATCAAAAGACTGGGAATTTAAAAGAATAGATGTTCCAAACTGTTGAGAAAAGATAAAGTCATGCATACTAAAATTACAATGGATTCTGTGCAGAGTAAATTCTAAGCTATTTTTTTTAAAAAGTAATTCAAGTTCAGACACCTGAGAAGATTTGTAATTTCAGTCACTTTCTTGTCTTTTTTTTCAAATTT